TTGGTGAATTAATATTTGAATAAATGCTTGAATTAACCTTAATGCATGGAAGATTAGAGAGAAGAAGATTATCTTGGCAAAGTTTTTTCAGTTAAATCAGTGTATGACGTGTACTAAAATTGGAAAAATGAAAATGAAAAAAAGAGAGGAAATGATACTGACTTAATTAGAAGTGAATTAATGCCGATTGTAAAGTAATAATTATGACGATGGTATTAATATATATATATATATATGATTATAATTATGAATTTAGCAATTTAAATATAATAAAGAAGGGTTTTTTGGAAATAAAAAGAAAATCACAATACATATATTAATTGTACAAGTTATGAAACTTGAATACGCACAAAAAAATATGTAATACATTTACCAACACAATTGGCCTTCTTTAAGTTACAATTGTTTTTTTGAAATTGCCACATGCGCCAATATACATAACCAAGCACAAAAAACACGAATACATTTTAAAGTTTCTCAAAAAAAAAAATTTTTTTTTATTTAATTAATTTAATTATTTTGTGGAAATATTTTTTTTTTTGGAAATTTCCTTTACTACTTGCTTGCTATTTTCAAATTATTCCTTCAAATTATTATTCCTTCAAATTCCAGCCTCTCAATTAAATTATTCTATTTAAAAAACTACACAATTTTTTAATTCTCTCCGTATCTTTCTTCTTTAATAAAATTAATATTTTTTTCACAAAAAAATTAATCATCTCAAAAATTACATCAATTACTTACCTATAAATTGGATTTTCGAATGATTTAGAACATTTTTCACAATTCCAGGCATTTTCATACTCTATAACTTTTTTATTGCAATTAGGACAAGCTGGATAGAAGAAATCTTTTCCTTTACTATGTATATACATAACAATTGCTTTAACGGTGAAATAGTCTGGCTGAATAATATATAAATTTGGAGATTTAGAATTAGAAAAATATTCAAATAATATATATATTATTTATATAATGTCAGTAGTTACTTTATCTTTACGTCCTAAAGTTCTATCAGACAAAATTTCTTCTAATGGCTTTTGTGCTTCTTTAACATTGGGGATGTTAGTTTGTTCTGCGCTACCAGTAAGGCTATTAAACTCTGCATCACTTCCACCCGATTGAAACCTATTATAAATTGTATTTATAATGATAATAATATTATTACTACAAGTACTTGTTATTAATCATAATTTACTATTGGCATTAGAATAAAATATAATTATTTAATTACCAATTTTTTAGTTCTTCTGGCTTCAGGAATAGAAGGATTCACAAGCAATATCGAATTGAGCGCTACCGACAAAGTTTTGCCTAAGTCATACAAATAACAATATAAATAACACGTGATTTTATAATAGAATAATAATAAGATAATATTAATCTATTTTTTTATCCAACCTTTATATTCTCCAACACGCACAGATTTACATGCTATGACTGAATAATCAGCAGCATCAAAATTGACCGCTTGATTTCCCCATAACGACATATTTATTTCGTATCCACTCTTGTCAACTATATCAATTTCTTTTTTGTGAATCTATAATTTTTGTCAGCAGGCAAAGTAGAGGAAAGAAAACCAATAATCAAGTATTTAATTTACTGGAACAAGAAATTTATACAAGATAATTAATTACTTACTGCCTTTTGTGTTTGTTTAGAAGTAACTTCGACAAGTTCGTGTGAACGCTTAACAATTCCTATTACATCTATATATGAATAATAACGTATTTAATATTTCATTCGTGTGTTTTCCTCTAACAAAATTAATTTAATTGATAATAATAATAATAATAAGTATTTGTTTACCGACTATGTTGTCTTTGTCAATCTCAGCCAAATCTTTTAATGGAACAAATTGAAACTTTATATTTTCTAACATAGAACCATCTTCTTCACACTAATTAATAAATCAAATCAATCAATTAATAAATCAAATCAATCAATTAATGAGCTATTATTTTTTTTTACTACGCAAAAAATAAATTTGTATAACATACTAGTTTAACATCCGTATTGTTTTCGAAATGTAATTCATATTTATGACCTTGATACATCGGATTCTTGTTGAAATTAATCTTTACATTGGCTATGTAATAAACCTATATCGTTCATTATATATTATACCAGTATGTGAAGGAGAGTATATGTACATGTATGTAAGTATATATGTACATGTATATGTATAACTTGTATAAATATTAATCTTAATGTTATTTATATTGTTTTTTACCTTATTCTCTTCAATTTTATCATAAAATTTATCCACCTGATCGTTAAATGCAGTGGCTTTAATTTCTCCCT